CCAGTTTGCCTTTCGTGAATATCAGAACTGGAGATTCTGGCTTTTGCTCAAGTTCGAACACCGGTCGCTGATGCGTGTAGATAACATGCAATTATCCTAGTAACTTCGCAGGCGAGCAAACGTCTGATAAGAACGAAAACAATTCACTGTATTAAAGTCTTCTAGGAAGGAGACAGTGTTCGTCGTAATTGCTTAACAGCCTCTTTAACATGACATATACATACATATATACATGCATACATATATATATATATATATATATATATATATATATATATATATATATATATATATATATATATGAATATATATATATGTATATATATATATATATATATATATATATATATATGTATATATATATATATATATATATATATTGTTATATATAACAATATATATATTGTTATATAACAATATATATATAACAGTATATATATATATAATATATATATATATATATATATATATATATATATATATATATATATATGTAATTTTATATATATTTTATATATTATATATGCGCAGTACTTAGGGTCATAAATTCACATCACTGTAAGTATATATATATATATATATATATATATATATATATATATATATATATAGAGAGAGAGAGAGAGAGAGAAAGAAAGAGAAAGAAACAGTAAAAGAAAACCATATAAGCAATTGGTAGATCCATTATATACAGTAATATGAGTTGTGCAGGAAACCAGGCGATGTTGGTAATAATGGTTATGGCATTGATAATTGTAATAATAATCTTGCTAGAATCAAATGCTATGATCATCGCCCAGCCATATATCAATAATAACTGCATAGACGTTAATACTTCAAGTATAAGGGCGCCTCGGTAAAAAGTAATGGTTATTGAACTAGTCTGGCTGATCATTTCTGCTCTGTATTGAATTCGATTCTTACTGGTTATCCCATACTTGTGGTCCTGCGTCAAACTAAGCTAAACTTTGCATTTTAAGGCGCCTCGTTTCGTCATTCGACTTTATCAAGGCAAATGATGATAAATAAAAGCGAAATGTTGTGTAGTTACATCAAATTCAAATTTTTTTAAAAAGACGCTTCCGTGTAAGCTTCTTTCTGGATATTGATAACATTTTTTTACTAAGAGTTTGTTTTTGTTTTCCATGACAACAATATTGTTCCGTTTCTCAGAATAATTCTGAAGATAGGACAAACTGATAAAGTCGAATGACGAAACGCTTCGGCAAGGACTAAGAACTACTTTCCAATTGTCTTTTTAACAACATATATATATATATATATATATATATATATATATATATATATATATATATATATATATATATATATATCTAAACCTAAAAACGTTGGTTTTCATCTAGATTTGAACTCGAATACTATTATAAACTGTAGCTGTTTTGCACGTCGAGCAGATTCACAAATATTTAAATGTGCAAAACAGCTACAGTTTATAATAGTATTCGGAGTTCAAATCTAGATGAAAACCAACGTTTTTAGGTTTAGATACTTTCAATAAGAAGTTACACACAATGGCGGAAGAGAGACACAATATCAGAAGAGAGACACGATACAATTTCCCAGCAACCACCATCTTTCTGCTTTCATATTTTGTATTACCCAGCGATTGCGGGGTGGAACTACCAAGATCTGTCTGTCTATGATTGATTTTGTTGTTTTCTTTTACCTTACCCACTCCCCTCTATTCTCTTGCTTAACAACCAGCTTTACTGTTTCTGATGTGTATTAGCCTCCAGAAACCATGTGAAGAAACCTTCATGTACCAGCATTATCCAACCAGCTTCTTGGAAACAAACACCTGACCTTGTTTAGGAAATTCCAGACTCAGTATTACCATGTTTGTCGAAATACATAAGAAATCAATCCGCAGGCCAAAAAGCACCAGGAATGGTCCTAAAAATAGAACTTAACGGTTTGAATGGAATATTTCCCGAAATCCCTGCAGGCTAACTGGACATAGCTATAATCCGTTGATCATATTGGTATCCATAACTACGATCATGCTTGATTTTACAAGTCCATGAATAGACTGTTCGCAATGGATAAAAAGCAGGGACAATTAGCATGCCAAAATATTGCATCTATTATGCTATTAGCAAAATGGTTTGTGAAAAGAAAAACACAGACACTTTGCCTAACTTTTTCTTCTACATAATTGTATTGCATGAATAACTAAATTAACTCAAATATATAATCCATGTAATAATAATGGTGAATTTAACCGTATACATTGGTTGACATTTATTGATCGATCAGTTAATGTTACTACCGGTTGCAACTTTTAAAGTTGTTTTTCTTAAAATACTTTTTCAGGAAATTAGTTTTTCTCTCAAGCGAACTGTCGTCGCTGTTTCTAGTGTTCATTGGAGTTTCCTTGCAGACCTTCTGTTTTTGATAGTGTGGAAAGATAACAGTTTGGTTATATCATTATTTTCTCTTCTAGTTACACTTGCTTCCCATTTTAGTCGTCGCTACTGTTGGAAGAATTCAAGTGATGCGTGCGTTTTGTTTTCTTTTATATTTGGTAAAGATCTTTGTTTGTGATCATATAGCGCCAGTCTATCAGATCTGATGAAGTGTAGTCTTCTTTAAGACCTATAGTGTTTTTTAGTCAATTTTACGCATTGATCTGAGAAAACGGCTGTATAGAGATGATATAAATATTTCCGAATGAGTTTCTAAATCTGTTGGGGATTTTTCAGAATATGACTTGAGTTTTTGTAGCAGCTTACGATGTCGATCAAAGTAACCCGAGCACAACCTATCCTGTGATCAATTTTCTTTAACAATATTTTGGGGAAAAGTAGTAGTGGCGAGTTTTACAAACCAGCCGCTTGATTTTTATCTAAATAATATCAATTGCAGATGGCCCTACCATTGATCAAAATTGTGTAGAGATATACTAGCTAAAATGAGCTGATTTCCATCAGTTTTGATTGTTGATGTGATTTCTTTGGGGTGGGATTGCATAAGTAGATAAATCATGTATTTATTAACTATATATTTATTAACATAAGCGATAAAAACATAAACAAAACGGGAAAGAAAACAAATGAAATCGGCTAGACTATATGCACAAAACACATATTTAAAAAAAGTTAGAGTGAAATTATCAGCTTCTCCTCCCCTTCATGCACATGTGTAATCGTATTAATTTTAAAAGGACGGAACGCGTCACAAAAAAAAAAAAATTCGCACTTTATCATGGATTTTCCTTTATGTTGACTTCAATGTCCACCTTTATATTTACATACGCTCTATCGCTGATATTGGGCGTTTTAACTGACAAATATAGCATACCTTAAAACTATATTTTATCATCTATCTATCTATCGATCGATCGATCTATCCATCCCACCCCCCCCTCTCTCTCTCTCTCTCTCTCTCTCATATATATATATATATATATATATATATATATATATATATATATATATATTAATATTATCCCTCACCCGTAAGGGTTAGTACCTAAAGATTGCGTTGTGCTGAAACTCCGAGTCTTGCTACCGGTGTAGGATAATATGTGTATTTATTAATATATACATAATAGCTGTGGTATATTATATCGAGTACTATTTTATTAACACCAGCACTCTATGTGCTATATCTATATGTGTGTGTGTGTGTGTGTGTGTGTTTGTTCACATGTTTACATGGTTGTTACATTTGAAATGCTAACAAAATCAATATTTAAAATATTGATCAAGGTTATAGAATGTCCAGGTGCCTATCTTAACAAGTACAACGTCTTTCAATTTTAGACTGTGACATTTACTCAAAAGATATTTTTGAAAAAATTGATACACTTATACGCACATACAAAAAGTAATGATAAAAAATTGAATGAAATCAGCTCATTTTACCCAGTAAATCTCTATAGAATTTGAATCGATAATTAATTCATCTACAATTGATATTATTTAGATAAAAAATCAAGTGGTCGATTTGTGAGCTTCGTCACCACTAATTCCCTAATAAATATTTTTTTAAAGAAATTGAACTCAGGATAGGTTACGTGAAGTTACTTTTATTCAACACCGTAAGATGCTGCAAAAGTAAAGTATTTACCTGAAAACTCGGGTTAAGTTTTTAAATAGCCTCATCAGATCTATATCTTCATATATATGTCGTGCATGGTATTTAACTCGCTCAAAATGTTTTAACTAGCATTCAAGTATTTTAACTGGTATTCAATTGTTCTAGCTAGCATTCAACTGTTTTAACTAGCATTCAATTGTTTTAACTAGCATTCAACTGTTTTAACTAGCATTCAATAGTTTTAACTGGCAGTCAATTGTTTTAACTAGCATTCGACTGGTTTAATTAGCATTCAACTGTTTTAACTAGCAATTCAATTGTTTTAACTAGCATTCAACTGTTTTAACTAGCAATTCAATTGTTTTAACTAGCATTCAACTGTTTTAACAACTGTTTTAACTAATTCAACTGTTTTTCAATTGTTTTAACTAGCATTCAACTGTTTTAACTAGCAATTCAATTGTTTTAACTAGCATTCAACTGTTTTAACTAGCAATTCAATTGTTTTAACTAGCATTCAACTGTTTTAACTAGCAATTCAATTGTTTTAACTAGCATTCAACTGTTTTAACTAGCAATTCAATTGTTTTAACTAGTATTCAACTGTTTTAATTAGCGATTCAATTGTTTTAACTAGCATTCAATTGTTTTAACTAGCAATTCAATTATTTTAACTAGCATTCAATTGTTTAACTAGCATTCAATTGTTTTAATTAGTATTCAACTGCTTTCTCGTGTCACTGCTTAAAAGAGCTTGAAACAAATAAATTCTTCAAATCTTAAAGAAGACAATTTTTCATACAACCCAATAGATTTGTGTATTTTTTCATTCACAGATTCTCATATTGTAGAAGTAATATTCTTTTTTTTCTCTCTCTCTCTCTCTCTCTCCAGCAACCAATGCAGTATTGTCCGGTCAGTGGACTACTTGGAAACCAATGTGGCTGCTTGGTTTCGAACTGATTGACAAATCAGTCGGCATTCTCGGTCTGGGTCGTATCGGATTTGGCATAGCGCAACGTCTTAAAGCCTTCAAAGTATCGAACATCTACTACACGGATGTGAATGAGGTACCGTATGCAAATGAAGTCAATGCAATCTACGTGAACTTCGATGAGATCCTTCGTAAGAGCGACATCATCTGCATTGCCTGCAATTTGACTGACCAAACACGAGGCATATTCAACAAAGACGCTTTTGCCAAAATGAAGAAAACAGCTGTTTTGATAAATGTCAGTCGCGGAGGTGTTGTCAATCACGATGACCTCTACAAAGCCCTTAAAGACAAGAAGATCGGAATGGCAGCGCTAGATGTGACCGTACCGGAACCGCTGCCTAAAGACCATCCTTTGTTGACCCTGGATAACTGCCTTATCACACCACATGTAGCCAGTAGTACATGGGAAGCTCGAAACGCAATGTCCCTGTTAACAGCTCAAAATATGCTGACTATTTTAGGCGGCAACGACCCGGTTGGAAGAATCCGAGTTTAAAGTTTCTGGTTTTAAATTTTTTAATTAAATTGAAAAGTTATATTTAACATCATAAGTGTTCGAGTGTTGAGTCATCAGTGCAAAGCCGTTGACATCACAACTGTAGTATTTTATTTACTCTTTTTTTTCAGATTATTGTCATTATAATTGTTGTTAATATTACAACGTTTCGCCGATGTACTTTTCGGGCATCTTCAGGTGTCTGTCGATCCAGGTAACCTTCAAGGAATTTCGAACTGAACATTTTATTTGATCTGTGATGGTAGATAACCTGAATGTGAATAATGTAAGTAATGATAAGTCAAATAAATTCAGGCAGAAACTATAGTGTTTGTTTTAATTTTGAACCTTTCTTTTTTTCTTTCTTTCTTTTTTTCTTCTTTTTTGCTCAAGAAACAAAATTCATATTTTCCCTTAATCCGGGATATTTTTTCCGGGTGGTGTAATGAGCAGAGACTCGGAATGATAAATCAGAGAGCCGAGTTCGAATTTCAGCTGGCTTCGTTACATTCACATACGTTTGGGAAAAGATACGAATCCATCTCTCCCTCAACAAGGGGTTAAATAGTAGCGCTTGTATCTGAAAAAATATTATTAAATATTTTCTTATTGGTATTCTAAAAATGTTAATGCATTATTTACTCACAAAAAAAAAAAAAACAAAACAAAAAAAAAACAGAACAAGAATCATTTTTACAATTCAAAATATGTTTCGGCCCACAAACGGTTGATAAGCCGTAAAAAACAAATCAATCAATGTGTATTCATTTTGGCGTCTACTCATTCTACCTACCATTCCCCCGTTTCAGTTTTAAACGATTTGAGTATTACTTATGAACTTTGCAGTGTATGTTTTATATCATAGTTTGATCACACTGTAGGGAATGTTGTTATTGTGGTAAGAGCCAGTTATCCTCCTTAATATCATGAATAGACTGATTCATTCATGATAAGTATTCCTGGGTAATTCTTTCCTACTTACAAAATGAAAAGGAATGCTGAGAAGATGGGGTAGACGAGAGACGTATCGGAATGTTATTGTACATGATAAAAGGGTTTGCATGGCTTCATAAAAGATATCTAAATCAAATAAGGAAAAGGTACACGGACGAACAGATCATCCAAGACGACGAGACGATGGTGGTTCTGTATGATGCTTTCGATGTGCCTATGCCTCAGGTAGCTCCAGAAACCAGACGCTTTAGTGAATGGAAGAGACAGCCTACAAATGTGTTGGGTCTTAACCAACAAAGAAAAAGTATAACTTCCATAGGAAGTTTCAAAAAGAGGAGAGATTAAGAGCCAGTTACCGTCCTTATTATCAGAGATGGACTGATTCATTCATATTTAGTAGTCCTGGGTAATTGTCTAGGGAAATAAAAGGAAGATTGCAGTGACTTGCCGAAATGAGGATTGAATACCACTATCACGGCTGACTTGGTCGAGTTAAGCGTTGTGCATTTCCAGACCCCACATCACAACAGTTATGCACTGCTGAAGAATTTATTAGTAAATTATATGATAACCTATCCAAGTGGTTTTGAATTGCTGAAATTGAATTTATAGTTCCAATGTACAACTAACTCAAAAATATCCTACACCTGCATGTAAGTTTCAATACGATTCGATGATCTAAACTTTTCGTTGCCATTATTTATTGATTGATTTTCTCTTCTTACACAGCCTTGAATCAAGTATCTACATATAAAGACACGCACTCTCACTATTTCCCTCTCTAACGCTCACTTTTTTAGCTTTTTTTTAAAATTTAATGTATGGGATTTTTCTTTGAATAATGCAATTATTAGGTTGTTCGGAAAATAATGATTGATTTAAAAATAAACCTTTAGTATTCTAATATATATTATTATAATATTTATCAAAAATATATTATTCATTCCTATTGATTAAACTATTCTCTTTGTTAATTATACATCAATATATTTCAGAATTTAACTTATTTGGTTGTTCGGAAAATAATGTCCGATTTTAAAATTATGTTCTAATATATTAGTATAATAGTTGCACAAAAATATATTACGCATTCCAAATGATTAAAGTGTCCTCTTTGTTAATTTTATATTAGTCTCTTTCAGAATTTAACTTAAAATATTATGTTGTAACCTAGAAAGAGTTACTGCATGAGGAGTAACCAAAATGGGGATTGGAAATGAAATGGTAATCTTTATAGCATCAACAAAATACAATAATCGCCAGCGGCGTCAAGTAGGTAAACCACAGTGGTGGACTTCTTAGACAGCATATTACCCCAATTACTAAAGTGTCCAACGCATTTATGAGGATTGGGACATACCCATTAATTTTTATTGGTACCGTGTATAGCACATTATGAAACCATCTCCTTGAACATGAATAAAGAAGAAATGCGTTTACTCTTTTTGCAGGAGATCAAACTTGGTCATAATCCTTCTCAAAACGTTGCCAACATTAACAGATTATGGGATGAACGATCATCTTGTAATCGAACAGTACGTTACTGGTTTCAGAAGTTCTTGAAGGTGGTGGAAAGGACGTTCATCTATAATTGACAATCAACATCTGAAAACGCTGGTCGAACAAAACACACGTTAAAATATCAAAGAAATGTATCAGATAATGTGTGCCAACATTTCAACAATATCGGACCATCTCAAGAAAATTGGCAATGTGAAGAAACTCGATAAATGAGTTCCACGTGAAGTCACTGATGGTCAACATGTCGGATGTTTTGAAGTGTGTTCGATGCTGTATCTGCGAAATTCGAATGACTCATTTCTTGATAGAATAAGGACTTGTGGTGAGAAATGACCATTTCTTGATGGAATAAGGACTTGTGGTGAGAAATGACTATTTCTTGATAGAATAGGGACTTGTGGTGAGAAATGACCATTTCTTGATAGAATAGGGACTTGTGGTGAGAAATGACCATTTCTTGATAGAATAGGGACTTGTGGTGAGAAATGACCATTTCTTGATAGAATAGGGACTTGTGGTGATAAATGACCATTTCTTGATAGAATAAGGCCTTGTGGTGAGAAATGACCATTTCTTGATAGAATAGGGACTTGTGGTGAGAAATGAACACTTTAAGATAATCGTAGACAATGGCTTGATCATGACGAAGTACCTAAAATCTTCTCAAAACCGAAATTGTACCGACAGAAGATTATGGGGAATGTCTGGTGGTTCGCCAATAGCGTCATCCATTGTAGCCTTCTGGAATCTAATCAAAGTATCACCGCCGAAGTTTACTGTTGGCAACAGGGTGAAATGTACATTCGGTTAAGCAAAATACGATTGGCACTGGTTAAGTGACGAGGTCCAGTTCTGCTTCATGACAATGCTCGGCCACATGTTACCAGAATAACACTGCAGAAGCCACCGAATTTCTTTGGTAAATTGCATTGTTCTATTGAAAGTTATCTGTATTAAAACTGATTTAAGTGTTTCAAATGTCCTAATGGTACAACTGACAACACTCATATCACAATTATAATACAAGACTTACTTCGACCAAATGACGAAATATCAACATTCTTTTTCAGGGAAATTATTCTTGGTCACCCCGAGAACTTTTCAGCACATTCTCTCTCTCTCTCTCTTTCTCTCATATATATATATATATATATATATATATATATATATATATATATGAATAAAAATGACAATAGGAAAACTAGTAATTGCTGACGTTTTTTTCCAATGTAGACTTTATCAAAGCAAAATACGAAATGAATTTAATTGAACAAGGTAACTAATAAAAACAACAACAACAAAAAAAAAAAACAGAATGTTCCTACCCTAGAAACTATTGTCATTTTTATTCATAAATATTGTCTTCTCTACTGGTTAAATCGGAGAAATTTTCATGTATAAATATATATATATGTGTGTGTGTGTGTGTGTGCGTGTGTATAAGGAAGAGGTTATAGTTGTTCCAACGAGAGAAAAGTGTATATCTATTTAAAAAAAGAAGAAGAAAAAACCGCAACCGTTTTTTGTTATAATGTGGATTTTTAAAAAATATATATTATACTTTATTTTTCATATTTTTGCAAAAGTATGGAAAATAAAGTATAATATATATTTTTTTTAAAATTCTATATTATAGCCAAAAACGCTTGCCGTTTCTTTCTTCTTTTTAATACACACACGCACACAAACACAAATATATCTATCTATCTATCTATCTATCTATCTATCTATCTATCTATCTATCTATCTATACACACACATACACATACACACACACACACATATACATATATGAGTTAAAGATCAAATGTAGATCAAATATGAATCGGAATCCGACAGGATGATGAAATAAAAAAGAAAAAAAATAGAAACGTGTATCAATCTAACATGTTTCCCTTTTATTAAAGCTTCGTCAGAGTTTGAGAGAAAACAGACAAAAAAAAAAACATTGTTATTTCCAATTATGTTTAGGTCAGTACTCGTTGGTCTGACACATGTCACGTGTGTTAAAACCGTGGATAATTCTATGTGTATGTAGGTTTGTGAAAATTCTTCTATGCCTAAGTGGGCAACGAATGGTAATGTGTATTTGTAATTGTGTGCATGTGTCTGTCTAGTTGGGTTTTTCATCTTCAACTTAGTGTGGTCAACTCTCGCAGTGGAGAGTCGCAGTGTTCTAGTTTACGGATCACCTGTTTAAGAATTTATTCATTGTATTAGATAGATATAAGTTACGTTTTGTAAGAATGGATTTAAAGAAAGATGGTGATGTAATGTAATGTTTTAGGTGTGTGTTTATAGTTGGTAATAATGTTATTATTATGTTTTCAATGTATTTTCTCTTTAAAGAATTATGGGTTTTTTTTTTTAACTAGGGTGGCATTAGTGAAATTAAAGTTATGTCCAACATCGTTTCGATGCAAAACGAGAGAGATTGATTGTCCAAACGCAAGACTCTATTGTGTTTGTAGACTTTTAGATCACATGATGTCCCCCCTACATAAACATAATGAAAATACCAGTATTTTCTGCCTTTTTGTCCGTTTTCTCTCAATTTCTGACGAAACTTTAATAAAAGTGAAACATGTTAGATTGATATACATTTTTTATTTGTTCTTTTATCATTTTCGGGTTCATACAAGCATTGGACGTTATTTTTTAATCGTGATTCACAGACCGTTGTAGTGCGCTCTTCTACAAGAAGTGAATGTTGGTACAAAGCTATTTTAGTAGTATCCCTCTCCCTACCTGGTTCGGCCGTAGGGATTGTCACTCCTGACCTAAACTTTCGTCTAAGTATCCGAGCGAGAAAGAATATCGTTGCCCGTCATCCTTGTATGTATCTATTTGAATTTCATTCTGAATTTATTTTACTTTCTCTCGGTCCCTCTTTCTTCGTTACTAAAGTTTCCTTCCTTTTTATATTGTTTTTTTTTAAATGAATTTATTTTTCTCTCTTTGAGAACTTTGAATATTATGTCTTTGGTGGCTTTTTGGATTCATACAAGTATTGAACGTTAGTTTTTAATCGTGGCTGACAGATCGTTGGAATGTTCTCTTCTACAATAACTGAATGTTGGACTTAAACTAAGTTAAAACTTTATATTTACATTCCAGATTCCCTATCACCTCCCGACACATATGCTTCCTCTATCCGACTATAACAATCCATATGGGTGGATGTAGTGAATGTTCAGGTATCTCCCTTTACCCTCTCCTCCCAATGTGACTTTTAGACCTCTAGCCTATGACTGATCTATACAAACATAACCGTGCTTGCTAACTCAGCTTGGCTCTCCAATTGTGTTTCCGTGACAACACTTATTGTTGTTGTCTTGTCTTTGTTTTGTTATGTTGTTTGTTTTTGTCTGTTTCTTGTGTGTGTGTGTGTGTGTGTGTGTGTGTGTGTGTGTGTTTTCAGTAGGAGTAGATAGGTTTTCCTATCGCCCGGTTAATACTTCTCCCAATTCTTTTGAACAGGAGTAGAGGCTCATCCCTTGTTTCCTGTTTATGAAGGGGTTCCCGGATCCTTTCCTATTCTTTGGCCTTAGTAGTTGTGCTGTCATGAATCTCTTGTGATGTATGCGGTTTGTGGCAGCATCTCTTCATACTGAGAGTACCGGGTTGGAAGTTTTCTAGTTGCTGTTCCTGACTGGTAGTTAAGATTCCGAACTCTTGCGTAGCGTTTTGAGTCGCTGCTCTGACCAACAGTTGCATAATATCGGTGTTCTTGCAGTGCCATGTTGCGAACATATGGGTGTCCCTGCATGTACCTCGAATGGCAACACTGATACCACATTATTTTATAGTCTTAGCCAGTTCCTTTCTGCTCATGCCACATTTGATGACGGGTTACTTCTATTACTTTAGGCCTTTTCCTTACCAACGTAACTCAACTTGACCATAAGCAACCAAAAATATAAACCTTAACCAGCTCAAAAATTCGCCTATTTCATTCTCCAACATCCGTGGTATTCGTAACAACTTCTGCAGTGTGGAATCGTTCCTCTTTGATAAGTGTCCTGATATACTAGCTCTGCGAGACTAACCTTAACTCGTCAATTCCTTCCTCAGATTACTCAATTCCTAGATACCGTCCTTTCCTTACAAAGGACTATAAAATCCACATGCAGAGCCTGGGTGTTTATGTTTGCGATCATCACCCGCTGGCTAGAGAACTGTCTTTGGAATCTCCAGGCCATTCGTATATGTGTCTCCGTCTATCTCTCCTCAGTTCAGTAAGCTATCTTTTCTTTCTCTACCGTTCCTCTTCCTCTCAAGACTGTTGTGTACTCGATAGCATTTCTGATAATATAGACAGAAGCCATCTATCTGCATCCGTTTGCAAACATATTCGTGTTTGGTGACTTTAACGCCCACCATACCATGGGGCTTAAACACTCTGTAGCTGACCTTGTTGGTATCCCCAACCCTTAACTTATCAATCACTCAATCCCTCACGCAAGTCGTTGACTTTGTTACGCGTTCCCCCAGTAACCCGAACGGCGATGCTTCCCTTCTTGATCTCTGTTTTACCTTCATCCTTGATTCTTGTCGCACTACGTAGCTCTGCCCTTTTGGTAACTCTGATCACGCCGTGGGGTCTGTTAATATCTCCTTTCACTCCCCCTCTAGCCATGAACCTCTTACTAATAGGATATTTTTCTGTAATCAACGCGCATACTGAAACACGACGTCCCTTGGAATGTGGGTTTTAATCACCCCGTATTAAATGTGCGTCTAAGGTCTCCTCCTGGATAAAAGCCGGCATCGAGTCTTTCATCCCAAGTTAAATCACGATCATCTCCTGGGTTCTCATCTGCTTGCTCTGCTGTTATAGCCCATAGGAATCACTTCTTCCGTCTGTACCGGAGCGACATGTCTGGTTGCAACAGACGTCTCTTTGTCTCTGCTCGTAATGAGCGCAAGCGTGTCCTCAATGGAGCAAAGTTACTGTTTACTGATAGGATGATACAACGTATTGCATCTCGCAAATTTGGTTTTAAAGATTATCTGCGGTTCTGCAAGAGTGTGCTGAACTAGAGCAAATCTTCAATCCCTCCTCTGTTCAACCAATTCGAAGTCCTAATATCCTCAGCTGATCAGACTGAATGCTTTGCTCGGAAATTCTCATCCAACTCAACACACGACTCTTCCGGGGTACCCACACCTGATTTCCCACCCCCTAGAACTGAGGCTATACTGAGTAGGATGTGCATAACACCGTCGATGGTATTAGACATCATCTCTAAATTAGTCTCTCAAAAAGCAAGTGGTGGTCATGGGATACAAGCTGTAGTCCTAAAGAAATGTACTCCTGAGCTGGCTCTAGTTCTCTCCAAACTCTACAACTATTGCCTCGCCGATTTCTTTCCAGCCTATTGGAACTCTCCTCTGTCGTCATTGGATACCCTTCTGACCCATCTAACTACCGTCCTATCAGTCTCCTACCACTCTTCGGCAAAGTCTTCGAGGTTTCCGATTTGCCCGGTCTACTGCTAATGTGCTTATGGCCATCACTGAATATGTATACCAAGCTCTTGATAATAACGGCGAAGCTCGAGCCGTTGCTCGAGATATATCGAAGGTGAATGACAGGATTTAGCCTGCTGGCCTTCTACGTAAGCTTCAGGGATATGGTATTACATGATGATTATTTGAGGTAATCCAATCATTCCTGTCTTACCGTGAAATGAAGGTTGTCCTGAACGGGTTCTCTTCCAGTTACTTCAATACTCTGGTGTTCCTTAAGGCTCTATCCTTGGTCCTACATTGTTTCTGATCTTCATCAATGATCTTCCAGGCGTCATTAGTTCTCAAGTTGGCATCTACGCAAACGAAACTATCATTTACTCCTGCATTGTAATAATAAATCCGACATTACTGACAAAGCTAACCTGGCCGTTGGTCTCGAAAACGACCTCCAATCTGTGGTTGACTGGGGCAGAAAATGACTTGTGAATTTTAATCCATCCAAAATGAAACTGCTTTTATTTACTCATCATAGAAAAACTTCCCGGTTCAGCATGGTTGATGCTCAACTTCACGAGAGCGCCTCACTGCATCTTCTTGTTCTCACGTTCTCCACTATCCTGAGGTGGAACAACTACACTGAATCAATTGCTGCATCTACCGCAAGAAAAATTGGTTCTCTGTGTCGCGCCAGAAGTTTTTTCTCGTCTGAGTTCATCCTTCACATCTACAAATGTACTATTCGTCAATGCATGGAATACTGATGCCATATATGGTCTGATGCCTCCGCTGCTCATCTCGAGGTTCTGATTGGTTCTGATTTGGGCCTCAACTTAGTGTTTCCGATCAAGTTCCCAAAGGCCACGTGTATTAGATAGATAGATAGATAGATAGATAGATAGATAGATAGATAATACACGTGGCCTTTGGAAACTTGATCGGAAACACTAATAATGAAGAAGCAATATTAAATTCCAATGTTGGTCACACAATTACCACACTCTCTTTTAGGTTAACTTGCCACTTATCAAAACTTAAGGCAGTTTGTAAACAGTTTCAACAACAAATGATTGTATTTACACATAAAATGACACGTGATTCTATTCGACATCATACTTTCATCTGGAGCATATAACCACAAACTAAACGCTCAGGTCAAGGATTTTTTTCTTTATCAGAAAATGTACAACCCAGTTTAACGTAATCTTTTTCTTTTATATAAACAAAGCTTGCAGATCCCTTGTATATAGTTTGTCCTTCCTAATGCTAAACCTTCAGCATATGATTCTTTACTGACTTCATCTGTTTGAGCAACATTCTGTT